GGGTAATGAGGCTTGTTGTCAAGGTGATGAGGCTTGTCGTCTGGGTAATGAGGCTTGTTGTCAAGGTGATGAGGCTTGTCTGGGTGATGGGGCTTGTGGCAGAGTGATGAGGTTTGTTGTCAAGGTGATGAGGCTTGTTTTCAAGGGGATGAGGTTTGTTGTCAAGGTGATGCGGTTTGTTGGAAGTGATGACGCTTGTTGTTAGGGGTGATGAAGCTTGTTGTCCAAGTGATGAGGGTGGTCAGCATAATGAGACTTGTCAGTGTCACAAGGGTTGTTATCAAGGTGATGAGACTGGTTGTCAAAGTGAAACGTTAAGTGCTCCCAGTGCACTGAATTACCTGAGCACGGCCTGGCTGTTTTGCAAAGATAATTGCTCTGACTGCTTTTAGGATCTGAAGGCAAAGACCAAGATAATCTCTCTGTTTTATGGTGATTTCTGACTTCTAATCCATATTCTTTATAATACTATATTTTCACTTGAAAATGGTATTTGAAAAAATGAGACGTTTTTGACATATTTTGCATTGCTCATTCTCAGTTCTCTTTCTTTCTAGAACAGTGGTTAGTTCTTTTGTTTCTGAATGTTTGCCATTCCATAGACTTATATGTTACCATTTTGTGTATTTATTGTTAATGAATATGTACTCATTTTAGTTAAAGAGTTATGATTATTTCTGTGTTTATTTTCTTTATGATTTTTTTTTATGATTTATAAGGAAGGAATTCTGGTGGTATTTTAGGTTAATTGTTGGACTGCTAACTGAAAGGTTTGCAGTTCAAACCATCAGCTGCTTTACCAGGGAAAGTTGAGACAATCTTCTCCCCAGGAAGATTTATAACCTCGGAAACCTGATGTCAGAATTGTCTCAACCGTGGGATTATGATTCTTTACACATAATAGAACTGACGTGCACCAATATTAATGTTGCAGAAGTTAACATGTATGGGTATAATTTTATTGTGGATATAATAAAGAAATATAACAATTGAGTATATTATTCTTCTAATAGCATCTTATTATAATTTTCCTAGTACCATTTTTTTTTAACGTGTGTACCGTCAAATTGGGTCTGACTGGTACAGGAGGCGATTGTTCCTCCTTCTTCAGCAGAGTATCCGGTAGATTTGAACCACGCACCTCTGGGATTGCAGTACAGTTTCCTGCCACTAGACCACCAGAGCTCGCCTCCTAGTACCATTTTTATTTTGCAATTCTGAGTTAACATGTATTTGTCTTACTCATTTGCTAAGTTGATTGCATATTATATAAGTTTATTGCATATTATTTACCGTTTCATAATGTAGTATTGTGCTTTAGTGTTTATTTGTGTACAGTTGTTGTTAGGTGTCAGTGAGTCAAGTATAACTCATAGCAACCCTTTGAACAACAGATCTGAAGCCTGTCCTATCCTGTCCAGTCCTCGTAATCTCTGACACATTCAGGCAGTCCACCGCTTTGAGAGTCTTCCTGTCTTCCATTGTCCCTCTACCTTCCCAAACATGATGTTCATCTCCAGTGCTGTTCATTGCGTACCGTAGTTATAAAGAAATACATAGAGTATATTTGTTCATCTTCAAACATGAGAAAGCCACAAGACTACTGATAGTTGATATGAATTCCACTGCCTCTCAGTGTTCATATAACTTGACATGTTATGAGTGGTTTGTCTTTAGGGTGTCTGAGCCCAGATGTTCAGTTGCGTATAATAATTTTTACAGAAAAATTATGTTCCTTTTAGTTTCTAATCATTTGAAGACAGTAGTTGAGATGTTTTATAACTATTCAAAATAAGCATTACTTTTGGTGTAACATGCCTTTCAAGATACATATTTTTCTATTATAAAATAATTTTAAAAAATTTAATTTGAGTGGACTTCTGTGAACTAAATTTGTTTTTTATAAACTATTTTTTTTTCAACTGTAGCTAATAACAAACTTGTATCTTTATCTCTTTTTAGATGTCTCTCCTATGTATACGATTAAGGTCTTATCTGCAAAAGAGGACTTTAGTAAAGGAGGATTACTTGAGACGACGGTGCATGGCCTTGAGGATTTTGACTTCAGGATAGTCAGGGAAAATACACATCAGTTTGAGAATCAATGGAAGGATATTGAAAGAAACAACAAAGACATGGCTAAGACCCTTATCAAGAACTTCGCTTCTACGAAAGATCAACATGTAAAAATAGATACGAGAAACAAATATATGAAATGCTTTGAAAGTACAATGGGATTAAGGTTTCAGTTCCATCTGGATGACATACAGCATTGTCAAACCGAAGACCAAATATCTGGATCCAGGCAGCACGAGCAGTCTGTTGGTAATGATTCTTCCGTGTCACCAGTTCAGACACTTTCTCCCAGTGTCAAAACCAACATTTGTGATAAATACGGGGAGGTGTTTATGCATCCTTCATTGCTTACAGAACACAGCACGACACACACTCAAGAGAAACCATTTACTTGTGACGAGTGTGGGAAGGCCTTTAGCCAGAAGTCGACACTTATTAACCACCAAAGAATCCACACCGATGAGAAGCCGTACGAATGTCACCTGTGTGGCAAGGTCTTTACCCAGAATTCAAACATTGCGTTTCATCTGAGAACCCACACCGCAGAGAAGCCTTACAAATGTGCTGAATGTGGGAAGGCGTTTATCCATAACTCAAGCCTCGTGGATCACCAGAGGATTCACACCGGAGAGAAGCCTTTCAAGTGCAATGAATGTGGCCAGGCTTTCATCAGGCGTTCACAGCTCTGGGATCACGAGAGACTTCACACTGGGGAGAAACCTTACAAGTGCAACGAATGTGGCAAAGCCTTTAACCGCGGCCCAAACCTCACCACGCATCAGAGGATCCACACGGGCGAGAAACCATACAAATGTCAAGTGTGCGGGAAGGTCTTCAATCAGAATTCACACCTGGTAATTCATCAGAGAATCCACACGGGAGAGAAACCTTACAAATGTGAGGAATGTGGCAAGGCTTTTATCTATCGGTCCAGCTACGTGAAGCACCAGAGAATTCATACCGGAGAGAAGCCTTACCGGTGCAAGGAGTGTGACAAAGCCTTCACCTGCGGCCAGCACCTCACGAGACACCTGAGGGTCCACACTGGAGAGAAACCGCACAAATGTACAGTGTGCGGCAAAGCTTTTATCCAGAAATCAAAACTCGTGCGGCATCAGAGGATTCACACCGGCGAGAAGCCTTTCAAATGCAGTGACTGTGGTAAGGATTTTATCCACAGTTCGAGCCTCGTGCAACACCAAAGAATTCATACCGGCGAGAAACCTTACAAATGCAATGAGTGCGGCCAGATGTTTTTTACACACTATCAGCTCTGGTATCACGAGATAATCCATACTGGCGAGAAACCGTACAAGTGTAACGAGTGTGGCAAAGCCTTTAACCTCGGCTCAACGCTCAATACACATCAGAGAATCCACACTGGAGAGAAGCCCTATAAGTGTAATGTCTGCGGGAAGGGCTTTATCCAGAAATCACAGCTGGCAAACCACCTGCGAATCCACACCGGGGAAAAGCCTTACAAATGCAACGAGTGTGGGCAGACTTTCTACACAGGCTCCCAGCTGTGGTCTCATGAGAGAATTCATACAGGAGAGAAGCCCTTCAAGTGCAACGCCTGTGGCAAGTCGTTTAACCGGAGCCTGCAGCTCACTAGGCATCAGAATATACATCTAGGAAAGAAACCACAAGTGTAATGTGTTTATCAAGACGTTCTGCCTAGAGACCAGAACTTGTGGAAATCTGAGTATTCTCTACTGGGTAGCATCTTTACTAATGCCATGAGTCCGTTGGGTCACGAAACCTCGGGAGAAACTGCGTGGAAAGGAAGTGTGTGGCTTTTACCTGAAACTGTGGCACTGTGGAGGAGTGGAGTATTGAGACGGAAGAGAAACCTGCACATGGAGTGAATATGGTAAGACTGATCCTGAATAATCACACTTTTGGAGTCGAGAGAATTGACCTTAGGAGCGTAATCAATGTAACAAGTGTACCAAGGCTTTAAACGCAGTGATCTGACCCCAGGCGTCACCTGGAATTCATAGTGGAGGCACACCTTACACGTATAATGAACGTGGTGAGTCATTTCACCAGCTCTTACGATGGATTACGTAATCAGGATTTGTACCGAGGGAACTTCTAGTCCTCAGAGATGAATCAACCCTCAGATGTTAACGTTCTGCAGAGTAATTAGCTGTCTAAATCTGTAACTCATGAGATCGTTGTCAAAGTTGGAAGCTTGTAATGGAAAGGTCTGGTTTTCTTCAGTCTGTAACATATTTCTGCTCATTTATGTGTGTTTCTTGAGAAAATGACATTATTCCTGACTTTCAACCTCAGGTTTCAAATCGGATGATATCATGCCTTCACACCTAACCTTTTGTGTGACACCAGGATGTTTTTTGAATGGGATCAAATGAGATTTTTTTTTTAAAAGAACTTTTTATTGTATTGTACTAGATGCACGGATAACAAAACATTTGCTGTCTCACCTGTCTTCACATGTACAGGTCAGCGTCATTAATTATTCCTTAGATGGAGTTCACTCTTCCCTGCATTCCCCAGAAGAACAAGGATACTGGATGTTAAGATAAAATATGGTAAACATTCGTATGAGAGTGTGGAGTGGGGTGAAGAACAGATAATAAGCTGTGATCCGTGTTACCATGATGAACATTCTCGAGAATATCCCTAGGGGGCTTCTGTGGACTACAGGAAAGGATTGCTTTATCAGCTGCAAACAGATCAGGACACTGAGAAGCAAATTTTGTTGGGAGCAGAAGTCTAGATAACTACAGACTGTGGTGAGAATAATGGAGGTGAAATGATAGCCCCTTGTGAACGGAAGTACCTTTTAGTAGCAAAGTTTAGTGAAACTTTAGTTATTTTTCAAACTGAAGAGAGAATAATTATCAGCGAGTAGAGTTTTATCAAAAGAACCAAAACTATGTATTTCATCAAAGGAACCAAAACCATACTTTCAGGATTCACAGTTAACCACTGGCATTGCATTTAGATAGTATTTTATTCTGAACATATCCTAGGTCTCATGTAAAATAAAATGTAATCGTTTTTTTGGTAACCCTGAACAGATTATGTTCCTTTTGACAACATAGTCATATCTCATTTTTTTCTTTCTGTAAGCATGGATGAGGTGTCCTCCAGTCCTGATGCCACATTCTTCCTCAGTGTCCCTGGCCAGAAGCGATTGTGAGTCTTGACCCCATTACCACCCATAGGGTCCCAAATTTATGTTGGTACTGGCAAATAGAGCTTTCCCCAGCCTCACCACCTGCAGGGAATTCCCTGCTCTCCTGGTCACATCAGCAATGACATAGGAGACCTCTGTATCCTGGAAGAAATTTTGATGACACACTGGTTAAAATGTTCAGCTTTGGGGAGCTCTGGTGGCCTAGTGGCAAGGAACTGCAACTACAATCCCAGAGACGCACGGTTCGAATCCACCAGATGCTCTGCCGGGGAAGGAGGGACAATCTCCTGTACCAGTCAGATCTGATTTGACGGTACACGCACACAAAAATAAAAATAAAATAAAAAAACAAAAAAAAATGTTCAGCTTTAACCATTGAAGCTTCACTTGTTGAAACCAGGCTTTGTGGGAAAAAGAAAGCTCCTGACGTCTCAAAGATTATTACAGCCTAGAAAGCCCAATGGGGCTGTCCTGCAAGGTTTTATAGGATTGCTCTGAGTCCAGGTTGGCATATAACAGTGTGTCTGTGTGTGTAATGGTGGTTGGCATTTAACAGTGTGTCTGTGTGTGTAATGTTGGTTGGCATATAACAGTGTGTCCGTGTGTGTAATGTTAATCTTTCTCTCCATGCCCTTTGAGCTAGCGGTCCTAGGAAAGCTTTGAATATTCTCAGGGTGGTTCAGAAGCAAATAGAAGAACACTAAGGACACAACCAAGAGCTTGTCTTCATTAATCACTTGGAATAAGCTGAGGAGACATTTGCATGTATTACTGTATTTAATCATCATCTCATAGTTGAGCTCTTTCTTTTCCTTGCTTACAGAAGAGGAACAGGAGACATAAAGAGCTTAAATTACCTGTCCACGATTGCATAGTTCTTAAGTAGCAGATACTCAGCATCCAATAACCAAACCATCAGAACCTGCATTTTTAACTGCTACAGCACAGGAGGGGAAGGCCCTCTATGAGGTGGATTGATTCAGTGACTTGGTTAATTGGGATGGGAGTGTCAGAAACAGTGCTATTGGCACAGGACAGAGTAGAGTTTAGGGCTGTTGTACATAGGGTTGCTATGAGCCGCAAGCGACTCAACGGCACATAACAACAACGACAACAACAACTGTTGTATTTGGCCTTGTATTTAAAAAGGCCTTTGGGCCCTCGGGCCTTTGGCCCTCGGGTCTGTTTTTTGTGGATCTCCTAAATAAAACAGGCTTGGAAGCAGGAGTAGCAATCCACTTCCAAAGAAAGCTTGCCTCTGGAAACTCTGTGAACTTGGAAAAAAGATGAAAGTTTTGCATTCAAGACTTTTGTTCATAGGGTCACTATTGGTCATTTACAACTCTACGGCACTTAACAACAACAACAATCAATGTAATTTTATGTGCCAAAAAGGAAGCTCCTCAACAAGATGGATTGACACCATGACTGCAGCAATGGGCTTGAGGGTGCTACTGGATTGGGCATGAGGTTTTTATGAGTTGTCAACTTGATGGCACTTAACAAGAACAACAGTGCGATCGAGAACCCTGGGAATGATGCCTAACATCTGGTTTGCAAGCCTTCCTCTGACATTGCCATAGGAACAGATCTGGGTAACAACTTTAGATTAGAGAGAGTCACATGGACAAAGATAAAGAGCATTTGTTATCTGTAATCTTGGTATACTTAAGAAATGACTAGGTTTAGGGTATCTGCTTCAATGGTAATGACTTCATTAACATGACAGAACTTTTCTCTGGCTGGGATTACATTTATGTATATTGAGGTTTGAGTTTCAACAAATATTGGTTAGGTGATGTGTTAGGGTGGTGGCAGTGTATTTAAATCCATAAAGATATCCACTCATGTTGCATATTGTTATGTGCCATCGGGTCGCCAGTGACTCATTGCGACCCTATGTACAACAGCCCTAAATCCTCCTCTATCCTGTGCCAATCTTACTATCCCTGGCACATTTATCCCCATTACCACAGTCACTGAATCAATCCTCATTGAAGGTCTTCCTCTCTTGCTCTGTCCCTCCACTTTCCCCATGTTGCACATATCAGTAATTAAATTGCTTATTCATTGCCCAGGAGCTCTGATGGCCTAATTCATAGGGAGTTGTACTGCAAACCAGGGATCTCACTTCTTCAGTGGTTTGAATTTACTAGCAGTTCTGAGGGAGAAGGGGACATTTTCCTCCCATGGGATTTTATAGCCATGAAAACACCATAGAGGATGAGCTGTAGAGCCAGTTTTGATTAAATGACAGTGAGCTTGAGTTTTTAATTCCTTGTCCATTACGGGAATATATGTATGTCATCCATCAGTTGTTAGGCTTGGGAGTCATCCCCAACTTTAGTAAATATGCTACAAACTATATATATATACACACACATCCCATATATATCCCATTTATATCCCATATATATCCCAATATATATATCCCATATATATATATCTCCCATATATATCTC